CTCGCTTTCGCCTTCGCCCTTCCGCCGTTTCACTTCTCCACTTCAGCCCACCTCATTCACCTCTGATATTCATTCAGAAAACTAAGTGATGCAGTTTGTGGAGGAAAAACTGCATTCGAAATTAGAACTGAAATTCCTCCATCAGGCCCGTGTAACATGGTTTCTGTGAAAATGGGAGGAGTGCGAGTCGATGCTTTGGTGGACACAGGTGCGACATTGTCTGTGATACGTGCTGATTTGTGTGAACATTTAAGGAAAGTAATGACGCCTTACGATGGCCCCACGTTAGTTGCTGCCCAGGGGAACGTCATTCGCCCTTCCACGTTTTGTACTGTGCGTGTTTTCATCGACGGCATCCGCCATCATGTCCAGTTTGCTGTCCTGTCCCGCTGCTCTCACGAACTAATTTTAGGGTGAGATTTTCTATCATCTGCTTTCGCGGCGATTTGTTGTGGACAACGCGTCGTTCACCTCGCTGACAACGACTACATGCTTGACGATGACAATCAGAAGCCACTTCGTCTGGTCGCTGCGAAAGACATCGAACTGCCGCCACTACAAGAGCAAATTGTCAGCATTACGTCCAACGACATCTGTCACGGGGATGCATTGGTCTCACCGTCACCAGTTTGCGTTCGCAAAGATATAGTTCTTCCGTCCGGTGTGTTCGTTTTTGCAATGGCTCGGCACTTGTCACCGCCGTCAACTCTACACCGGAGAAGATCTTACTGCCACAGGGCACTACTGTGGCCCGTGTTGCTGACTTCGAGCCTGTATTTGTCACGCCACTTCAGGCCATCGCATCCAAAGAACCTTGCCTCGGTGAGCATGTTTCTTCTTCTGCCTTTATCATCACTATCAGCAGCGAATTGACATATTCACAGAGGCAGCAGCTGCTCGCATTGTTACAGAAACATGCAAATTCTTTTGATATTTGCTCATCTAAGCTGGGCCGCACTAATACTACAGTACATCGAATTCAAACTGTTGGGACGTATATCGTACACCGCCGACCCTACCGCGTGTCTCTAACTGAAAGAAAAATTATAGAAGAAGAAAACGTTGCTGACATGCTTTAACGGGAAGTCATCCGTCCCTCATCTAGCCCTTGGTCGTCTCCTATTGTTTTGGTCCATAAAAAGGATGGCTCTGTGCGGTTTTGCGTGAACTACCGGGTGCTCGATAAGATCACACGCAAGGACGTGTACCCTATGCCACGCATTGACGACGCCCTTGATTCCCTACAAGGCGCGGCATTCTTTTCAAGCATCGACTTGCGTTCTGGGTACTGGCAGATACCCATGCATGAAGACGATAAGGAGAAAACGGCATTCGCAACCCCTGACAGGCTATATGAATTCAACGTGATGCCTTTCAGGCTCTGCAATGCACCCGCGACTTTTGAGCGCATGATAGATACCGTGCTGCGCAGCCTGAAATGGAAAAGTTGTCTTTGCTACCTGGACGACATTATTATCTTTTCGTCAACGTTTCCTGAGCATCTAGAATGATTGGATCAAGTTTTGACGTGCCTTGCCGGCGCCGGGCTTCAAATAAACACCAAGAAATGCACTTTCGCTAGCTAATCTATCAAGGTCTTAGGACACGTCGTTATCAAAGATGGCATCCGGCCCGACCCTGACAAGATTTCTGCAGTCCTTCACTTTCCACGTCCCGAAAAACCAAAGGATCTTCGCAGTTTCCTTGGCCTCGCCTTCTATTTTTGCCGGTTTATCCAGAACTTCGCTTGTATTGCTGCTCCATTACACCAACTACTTGCTTCCAACGTTCCCTTTCTGTGGTCTCAAGAATGTCAAACGGCATTCGACATGTTGAAGCGAGCACTCACGTCTGAACCTCTGCTCTGCCACTTTGACGAAGCCGCACCGACTATCCTCCATACCGACGCTAGCGGCCTTGGTATAGGGGCCGTTTTTCTACAACGCGACAAGTCTTTCCTAGAGAAAGTTGTTGCATATGCCAGTCGCGTACTCACCCCTGCCGAAAAGAACTACACTTGCAGGAGTACGACTTTGACATAACTTACAAGTCAGGCAGAAAACATCAAGACGCCGACGCTTTATCTCATTGCCCGCTTCCAACTACCCATATCAGCGGTGGTGAGAACTCAACCGCCACGTCTACCAAAGTTCATACGCTCGCATCAATAAGACAACCCTCTTCGGAGGACGAGCCAGCATTTATCTCCCACCAGCGGTCCGATTCATACTGCAGACGCACGATGGACAACCTTTCGGGAGTTTCTCATCCACCCAACGCGCGACTCCGTCGTCAACTCCTGCACTTTAAGCTGGACAATGGGGTTCTCTACCGCCAGGTCTATCACCCTGACGGTCAGCGCTGGGTTCCTGTACTGCCACGCTCTCTTCGACTTCAGGTGCTCGAAGCCTTCCACGACGACTTCACTGCTGGTCATCTTGGTTATAAAAAAACTCTTGACCGCATTCGATGTCGTTATTACTGGCCTGGCCTTTCTTCTAGTGTAGTGCGGTACGTCGGCTCCTGCTACCCATGCCAGCGTCCTAAACTCCCCACGTCTGCACCTGCTGGACCTCTACAGCCACTTCCGTGCCCTTCAATGCCGTTCGAGGTTGTAGGTGTTGACCTTAACGGGCCTCTCCCCATCACATCTGCTAGCAAACGATGGATAGTGACCGCCGTGGACCACCTGACACGCTACGCTGAGACTTCCTCTGTTATTACAGGCTCAGCTGTGGAAGTTGCAGACTTTATTCTTCACGCAATAATACTGCGTCATGGGGCTCCTCGTGTACTGCTTAGTGACCGCGGCAAAGTGTTCCTGTCACAAATGGTAAATGAAGTACTGCGCGCTTTTGGAACTACTCACAAGACAGCTTCAAGCTACCACCCTCAGACAAATGGTCTCACAGAAAGATTTCATCGAACCCTTGCTGACATGATAGCCCTTTACGCCCAACCCGACCACAAAAACTGGGATACTCTTTTACCATTCCTGACATTCGCTTAAAACACCGCCGTTCAGCGAACAACTTGCTATTCACCATTTTACCTCGTGTACGGACGCACCCCGACTACCTTTCTCGACGTCTCCTTCTTTAACAGCCATGGGAATTCATGTCAGTCTTCTAGCGAAGAATACATTTCCCGCCTGGCCCAGTCTCGCCATCAGGCTCGCATCAATACTGAAGCGAGACAGCACGAGCGGAAGATCATCTATGATGAATCCCACCGCGTTGTGTCTTTCCAACCTGGTGACGAGGTGCTGCTTTTGACACCTATTTGCACTCCTGGTCTTTGTGACAAATTCCAACCACGCTTCATGGGGCCATACATTGTTTTAGAACAGACTTCGCCAGTTGATTATCGTGTCACACCACTCGTCGCCCCAACAGACCGCCGCTACCGCAGCACAGAGATTGTCCACGTTTGTCGCATGAAACCTTTCTTTCACGCGACGTTCCCCGTCACTTTGACTTACGGCGGCCAGGATGTCCGCTTCCAAGTGGGGGCATTAGTGTGGGCATTTGTTACTTTCATCGTCCTCATCCCTGCATGATCACAATCACCATCATCAGCTTGTCTCTTTGTCCTCATTGCCACTCTGGGTCATCATCATCGTCATCGTCTGTGTACTGGCTCTGCCCGTTCGTTTTGCGAGGTCTTTCCTCAAATAAACGCTGATGCAGCCAAGACTACCAAGACTTCATAATATTTATTATTAACTCATGAAATTGAGGGCTCATTAAAGGGCCCCTGATGCCAAATTCGGGAACTCGAGATGCTTGTGCTGTTTGAAAGTCCTGCGTGTGGGGGCACTCTGGATGGATTAATAATTATGAGCATTGCCTATGAGATATTTTAATTTGGTTTTAAAGAAAAGGTGCATGCTCTTCCGAGTATTCTGGTGCAGTCGACATTGTCTGTGGTGTGATGTTGACCGGTGGTCCCCTTGGGACATTGCAGAGATAAAGTAAGTATTGTCGTTGTCAAGGAATGTTTGCGGGGCACTCCAAATAGCCCGTCTGGCCCTCAGCGAGGACTATTGTTCGTCACTCATTCTCGCTCTATTGTTGGGCTGCTCCCAAGGTGGGTTTGACTGCGTTCGCAAGGAATGCCTTTCTTTTTTCTATGGGGACATGCTTGAAGCACCACATCGTTTCATTCTTCATAAGCCACAGGTGCCCCTATTGGAAAACGGCGCGTGCAGCGTCACCAAAGCTTGAGTGCACGTAGTTTCACGTGCTGCCCCACTGTAGAGCGCTAGTTTCTTATAGTATTTAATGGCCATTTCAAATTGATGTAAAATCATTGTGAATGAATGATGCTCGCAATAATTATACCATGCTTCAGAGTATTTACAATTCAATTACTGCATTACCAGAAGCAAACCTACAAATTGGTTTGTAGTTAGTTTTTGTATCCAGCCTCCCTTATATGCCTCCCTTATATTTAACAATATTGCATGAGTGTCGACTGTGCACAATGTCATCTTTTTATGATGGTAATGATCTGTAAAACTGGCAGTAGTCTGCCCATGTGTATAAAGAAATTTCAACCACAAGAATCATCCACAATCTTGTTGCTTTCAGAAGAAAATTCAGAAGCTAATTTGTGGGGCCACGTTACACATGGTGACGAATAGCGGGGTCACAAAACTGTTTGTTTTTTGTAGAACCCCAGATCTTGCATGCAATGTCACTGTTGTCAATCATAGTTTGATTTGATCTTTTCATTATGTAACTATTGTTTCTCTTCTTTTTGTTTCATTAAGGAGTCCAACTAAGACACTGTGCTGGGGTATATATTGCCCTCTAAGGAATAGTGAAGGAGATGGCACTTATTCTGGAGATGCTTTGTTCACCTGCAAACACTGCTGTCAATCTTGCAGATCATTGCCATTCTAAGGGGCTGCTGACACATCAGTGGTCGATGCTTGTGTGGTATGGTTAGACATTTTTTCTTTAGTTTTTTTTTTTTTGCTTTTTTCTTTTGTTCAGTTATGCAGCTGACCCTGAAGTCCAATGTGTTACATGCAAGCACTGCCCTTGCCTACTTCGTGTTTGTTCTCAAAGCTGCTGACATGGATACTCACAGTGGTAAGTAGCATTCCCATTTTCTTTCTCAAAAGTGGCAACTCAACGTTGTCTTTGTACTTGGATGTGCTGCAATATCTGACATGTAAACAGGTCATATTTACAAGCCTATAAGCCTACAAGAAATGATGCAAAAAGGTTTTGGGTAAACTTGAGACGCATTGGGTAATAAACAAATGACATAACAGAGGAACCTAAGGCGACCTCGTGTCAGTGAGAACTGGCCCTACAATCATCACATGATGCCCATTTATCAAGGTCAAAATGACTGCTCCTTATTTATTGACCATAAAGTCCAAAATGTGCTTCAATGAAGAAAACTAAGTTCTCCATGGTGTTATTTGCTTTCTCTACTGGGAGCTGGAAAACTGAGCACCTTGATCTTCATTAGGCCCTGTTTTCTCACATTTGGAGTGCAATGCTCATTTATCATTCATGTTTTCAATTATGTGCCAAATACTTGTAACTTTCACATGCATATTCTCCTACAGGGCTACCTTTTTTGTCAATTGTGCTGTCTATTTCTCACATTTGCTTACCTGGTAGCTCAATTTGAGCATTTTGAAACAATTGGTTTCATTTTATGTTTTCTTGCCCTTTGTCATTGGCTCATTCTGCTACAGAAAACAGCCGCTGGAATTGTGATTGGCGATAAGAACTTAGATGTCACTTAGCGAAAATTTTAGAGTGGCATGCGTAGCGGGGCGGACTCTGAAATTCTTTATTAGCATTGCGTGTTCCTCTTGCAGCTGTGGTTTTCCTGTCGACACTGTTGGGTGTAGTCGCCAACGCGCTTATTTGTGGTAGGCCAGTGCCTTGTTGCATAAACACGACATCAGCTAACCTGTATGCGACGTCGCCACATCTTTGCAGTGCTGTAGCACGTGGGTTCGCAAACGGGGGTTCCCGCGACCAAGGAATTTTTAAAGGACATCTTAAAGTTCCGTCCGCGAGTGGCCAGAATGAGTGCAACGTGCTACTGTTTTACTCCCATCAGTAGCTAATTTGTGTATTTATAAACAAACCAATTTCCATTGCAATTTGCACTTTGCGAGGCCATCACATGCCGCATTCGAGCATGGGGTGTTGGCAGGTAGCAAAAGACCCACGTGGTATCCCTCTCCTTATGGAGAGAGAGGGCTGTGTGCCCTTTCTTTCTTTTTGACATACTTCATTACTCCATTACAGCCTGATAACCATATGGTCACGTGCTTGCTCTAGAAAGACGATGGCAGTTGTGCATGTGCCATGAATCAGGACTATGAAATAGACGAAAAAGAAGAACTCGCTTGCGCGTTCTATTAAAAAGACCGACACATTTCTGGTGTCTGGATCTTTGCAGCAAGACCTCTGTTTTGACGCGGTTACACTGGTGGAGCTGCTGGAGCCTACAACCTGATGCAGGACAGTCTTGCTCGGACCCATTCACCTAGTGCAGTGACTTAGCCCCTCGTCACAACTGCAGTGCACTGATTCAGTCGGTGCTTACTAGGCCTAAGTCCGGAGTCCGCACCTGTTCCGCCTCTTGCCAGCATGGCAGCTCCTACCACATCCACGGTTATCCTTCTATCGCAGACCACTCTTTCCTCGCAGGTGACTCTTGAACATCCTCACGTTCCTGAAATTTCTCGTGGGGAAGAGTACGAGGATGTTGAGAACTGGCTCAAACAGGTCGCTGTATCCAACCACTGGAGCGAACAGCACAAACTTGGCCGTGCATATTTTGCACTGAAAAATAGTGCTCACGTGGTACGAGAACCGCAAGGCTACTTTCCAATCTTGCCAAAATTTCCGTCGAAAGCTCCTCTCCACATTTTTTAACTCTGACCGACGGGATAGCACGCTGCAATTGATTGAGGCCCACGAGCAAAAACCCAACGAAACAGCCGCCATGTACGCAGAGGGTGTGATCCGTCTGTTTCGACAAGCTGACCCTGACATGCCCGAGGCAAAGAAGCTGTGCCACCTAATGTATGGTGTTAATGAACCAGTGTTTGCGGGCCTCATACGAAATCCACCTACAACAGTCAAAGAATTCATAAGAGAGGCGACTGTCATTGAGCTCGCATCGCAACAACGATGCCGATACTTTGACCACCTGCCGAACCACCCGGCAGTAAGTGCTGCAGCTCAGAGCACTGCCCTCTGCGAAAGTTCCCTGCAACAAATGATCAGAGAAATACTGCATGAGGAACTTTGGGCCCTCTGCGTTCCTCCTACCCAACCGCCTGTCGCATCTGTTGCCGAAATCGTCCGCCAGGAGTTGAGGCAAGCCGTTACACCACCCGCGCCAAGTCCTGAACCACATCCAGCGAGCTACGCTAATGTAGCTTGTCGTCCTCCACCGTCATTCATGGCGATGCCCTTCCAGCCACGACCCGCTGCCGTACCTTGGTGGCAACGGGATTCCATGAGACGACCACCAGTTCGCTGAACTGACTTAAGGGGCATGGCGAACTGTAGACCTATTTGCTTCCGCTTCAGAGAACCAGGTCACATTGCCCGCTATTGCCGTTATGACGATTTTGGGTTCGGGAACTTTTATCGTCCCGCTTCTTTTCGCTCGGAAGACCGTCGCGCCCATAATGCTGATCAACTGTCGCCTGGCCAAGCGACTCCATCGCGTCGCTGGCGATCTCGATCATGCGACAAGAACTTGCTGACCACCTTAGAAAGGTCAAGACACCGTAGACAGGGTCGCACATAAGGAGGGCTGGTGGTCAGCTGATCATTCCCACGGGTAAACGCCTCACTCGACTTCGCATCGGGGATTCTAGCCTCGTGGCCACTTTTTGTCCTCTTGCCAGACTGCTGTAAAGAGTTAATTTTGGGCATGGATTTTCTTCAAGACATGGCGCTGTTATCAACATCCCTCAACGTATGGTGACGTTTTGCGCACATCTGTATGTCCACAACAGCAGCGACGAACCACACGGCTGTTTGCGAATAGCCGACGATGTGATGCTCCCACCGAGATCCTGCTGCCTTGAGTCAGTGTCCAGTGGGTGGCCTTGCTATAAGAATGTGATAGCAGAGCACGTAGTTGCTCTTTTGCTTATGCAAGGCATTTCCATCGCGAGAGGTGTCCTGGCACTTACTGGTGAACAGGCAGAAGTGCTCCTCACAAACTTGAGCAACGAGCGCCGTCGAATCCAGAAGTGTATCACAATTGCCTACTACGACGATTTAGACCAAGCTGGGGATCGTTTTGCATTGCAACCAGATGACGTGGCTGTCCTTGCTTCAACAGCTTCGTCGGTGGACATCTGCTCCACGCTGCCACCCTCTGATAGGAAGCGCCTGCTTGAATTTATACACCAATTCGAAGACTGCTTTCGTGTACGTCAAAGGTCTAGCAAACACCATTGACCAAGCACCGCATCATTACTGAAGACAACACGCGACCGATTCGACAAAGCCCCTACCGTGTGTCTCCGAATGAGCGCGAGGAGATTCAGAAGAAAGTAACAAGATGCTCGCGGATGACGTCATGCAACCTTCGAAAAGTCCTTGGGCGTCCCCCGTGGTTTTGGTCAAGAAAAAAGACGGCAGCTTGCACTTTTGTATTGATTATCGCAAGTTGAACCAAGTCACAAAGAAAGACATCTATCCACTGCCCCGCATAGACGATTCACTCGATGGGCTACGTCATGCGGACTATTTCTCTTCAATGGACCTTCGAAGCAGCTACTGGCAGATAAAAGTCGATGAAAGAGATCGTGCAAAAACGGCCTTTGTGACGCTCGGTGACCTTTACCAATTTAAGGTGCTTTCTTTTGGGTTGTGCTCGGCGCCAGCCACTTTTCAGCGTCTCATGAACATTGTACTATCAGGCCTGAAGTGGAAAACATGCTTGGTCTATCTGGACGATGTTATTGTATGCTCAGCAACATTAGAGGAACATCTCAGCCGTTTATTCACCATCCTTCAAGCCATACGTTTGGCCGGCCTTACTTTAAAACTGGAAAAATGTCATTTTGGTTTCAGTGAACTCGGCTTTTTAGGCCACATCGTCAGTCACGAGGGTGTTCGACCTGACCCGGCCGAAATAGACGCCATAGTGCAATTTCCTGCACCATGCGTCAAAAAGGCCGGGGGACGCTTCTTAAGGTTGTGCGCCTATTACCGGCGATTTATCAAAGACTTTCCGTCTATTGCAGCGCCATTTACACGACTCACACGTGAGGACATCCCCTTCCTTTGAGGTGAACAGGAGCAAATGGCATTCAATGAACTACGACAGTGCCTGCAAACACCTCTAGTCCTTGCGCACTTCGACCAGGAAGCCCCTACAGTACTTCACACTGATGCCAGCAATGTAGGTCTGGGTACCATTCTGGTGCAGTGGCAAGACAGCTGTGAAAAAGTAATAGCCTACTCCTGCAGAACTCTCTCTCGCACGGAGGAGAATCATTTGACTACCGAGAAAGAGTCTCGCCTTGGTGTGGGTGGTCATGAAATTTCGTCTGTATCTGTACGGTCGCTCCTTCAAGGTTGTTAGCGACCATCACTCTTTGAGTGATGGTCGCTAACTTGAGTTCCTGATAGCCGAAGTAGCACTTTTCGGGCTTGATAGTAAGGTTCGCGCTCCTTATTGCAGTGAGGACACTTTTAGCCTTGAAAGATGCTCGTCAAACGTGCTTGAAAACACAACGACATCATCCAAGTATACAAGACACGTCTTTCACTGCAGTCCAGCTAGTACAGTGTCCATCATGCGTTGAAACGTGGCGGGAGCGGAACAGAGACCGAAAGGCAGCACTTTATATTCGTAGAGCTCATCAGGTGTCACGAATGCGGTTTTCTCAAGGTCGCCCTCGTCAACTTCAATTTGCCAGTACCCTGACTTGAAATCTAATGATGTAAAGAATTGGGCGTGGCGTAGACGGTCCAAGGCGTCATCAATCTGTGGCAGGGAGTAAACGTCGCATTTTGTGACTTTGTTAAACCGTCGATAGTCGACGAAGAAGCGTAGAGTGTTGTCTTTTTTCTTTACTAAGACA